ATGTTCTTGATGTCATCCAACAATTCTTCTGGTTTTTGGTCACTGGTGTTCAATGCATCAAATCTACTCTTTAGATGGTCTCTAAATTCAGGAGGGATATATTCAAGTTCATATTTTGGCTCTCGTGGACTTGTTTTAATTGTCTGCAGCTTCAAGTTGAACTTGCATATGAGCAGTTGATAGTCTGTTCCACAATCAGCTCCTGGCCTAGTTTTGGCTAAAGATATTGAGCTTTTCCATCGCCTTTTATCACAGATGTAGTCAATTTGATTCCTATGTACTCCATCTGGTGAAGTCCACATGTATAGCCACCATTTGTGCTGTTGAAAAAAGGTATATGCAATGAATAAGTCTTACAAAATTCTATCATGCAATCTCCAGCGTTATTTCTGTCACCAAGACCAAATTTTCCAACTACCAGTGACTCTTCTTTGTTTCCAACTTTTGCATTCCAATCATCAGTGATAAGCAACACATCTTGATTGCATGTTTGGTCAATTTCAGACTGTAGAAGTTGGTAAAAATCTTCAATTTTCTCATCTTTGGCTTTGGTGGTTGGTGTGTAAATTTGAATAATAATAGTATTAACTGGTCTTCCTTGTAGGCCTATGTACATTATCTTATCACTGACAGTACTGTGTTTCAGGACAGATCTTAAAACATCCTTTGCAATAATGAATGCCACACCACTCCCCTTCAAATTGTCATTCTCAACATAAAAGATCCTATGGTCGTCTGATTCAAAATGGCCAAAACCAGTCCATTTCAGCTCACTAATGCCGAGGATATCAATCTTTATGTGTTCCATTTCATTTTTGACAACTTCCAAGAAAGGTAACAGGCATTACGCCAAGTCAAAAAAACAGCAGAACAATTTATATTAGCTGTCAAGGCTTTAAAATAATTTTCTCTTTTCTGAGATCATCTAGGCAATGGTTTTGCCCTCCAGACTCTGGGTATTGGCCACACTCTCTGGATTCTGGGTAGAGGCCCCTCAGCCCTGGGCTTCAGCTCCACCTTTCAGGCCCACCAGGATGGCAACTCTCTCCCTCAGCTTTGGGTGGTCCCATTCTCCTAGTTCAACTAAGTGGCAACCCACTTCCTCAGCCCCAAAAAATGCCATTCTTCTGTCCCTTGGGCAAAACAGCCACCCGCTCAGACCCAGACCCACCCCCGTGGTACTTGTGAACAGCAGCCCCACACTCTGGAGGCAGCCTCATACTCCAGAACTGAGTTGGCAAAGAAATGACTCTTTGAAACCCAAGAGGCCATGGTTCCCACCCTTTGAGACCCCTCTCCCATGCTCCTTGTCTCTTTAGCTTCTGTCTGTTTACTTGGCTTCTACACTTCTCAGGCTAGTCAGCCTGTCTTGCTCAGGCAAGTGTTACAGAGCTCTTTAGCGCTACTGTAAGTGCCTGGAGGAACCCCACTCCACCAGTAAGTCTTGGCCCAAAGCCACTCAGCTCTCTCACTCCATGGGTCACCAAGCCTAGTTCTACCAACAAATGCCCAGAGATACCCCACTCCACCAGGAAGCCTCCTTTCCAAAGATACTCAGCTCTCTTACTCTGTGGGTCAGCTCCTGCACTTTCTCATGCCAGTCTCCAGGTTCTGCTGATGCCATTTCTCTGCTGCTGCTTCTCGCCATCTGTGCCATCTTCAGTGTTATACTCCTCACTTCCTTCTAAGCCCTCACCAGAATTGCCTGTGATGTCCATAATTCCACCAACAGTCTCTACAAGGTAATCTAGGCTTTCACTACTGCTGTTAGGTGCCATCAAGTCAATGAAGAATCATAGCAACCCCATGTACAACAGAACAAAACATGCCTTGTCCTATATCATCCTCACACAATCATTACTATGTTTGAGCCTACTATGTCAATCCATTTCACTGAGGGTCTTTCCTCTTTTTCACTGATCCTCTACTTTACCAAGAATGATGTCCTTCTCCAGGGACTGGTCCCTCCTGATAACATATCCCAAGTACATGACATGAAGTCTCACCATCCTCATTCTAAGGAGTATTCTGGCTGGCTATACTTCTTCCAAAACAGATTTGTTTATCCTTTTTGCAGTACATTCAACGTTCTTCACCAACGCCATAATTCAAAAGCATTGATTCTTCTTTGGTTTTCCTTATTCATTACCCAGCTTTCACATGTATACAAGATCAATGAAAATGCCATGGCTTGGGTCCAGCTCACCTGAGACCTCAAAGTGGCCTCTTCACTTCTTAACACTTTAAAGAGATCTTTTGCAGCAGATGAGCCCAATGTAACACTTGACTTCTTGACTGCTGCTTCCAATTCCAAAATCACTTCCACATTTTAGGTATCTGTTAGAGCTGCATGCCAGTCTTCCAGTACCAAATTCTTAATTATCTAGTGCTGCTACAGCAGAAACACAAGCAGATGGCTTTAACAAACAGAAATTTATTCTCTCACAGTTTAGGAAGCTATAAGTCCAAATTCAAGGTGCTGGCTCTAGAGTAAGGCTTTCTTTCTCTCTCTCTCTCCCCTCTGAAGGAAGGTCTTTGTTCTTTTAGCTTCTGCTCTTGGGTGATCTTCATGTGACTGGCCATCAATCTTCTTGAGTCTAAGAAGTTCTCCGCACAAGGACCCCATGTCCAAAGGACTCGTTCTACTCATGGATCTTCTTTCTTGGTCACACTGAGTTACTCCCTCTCTGCTTGACTGTTTCTCCTTTCATCTTGTTAAGATAAAAAGCGAGGCAGGTGACACCCCAGGGAAATACCCCTTAGATCAGGGCTGTGACCTGAATAAGGATGTTACATCCCACTCTAACCCCCTTACAACTGATTGGTTGAGCACATCAGATCATAGCATGGGGGATGATTAGATCATTACTTAACAGTTAAATTACATTATTACATAACTGCGAACCACTGAGAATCACGGCCCAGCCAAGTTGGCACATATTTTTAAGGGACACAATTCAATCCATGACAACCAGTCTCCTGAATAGCAAAGACTGAAGTATCAGGAGATGACCCTTCATGTAGAAATATCACTATAAGTTAAAAGAAATGTACTGCCCTATGAAAGCAAAGTAACAAAGAGTTTAGACATGTGAACTACTGTTAATTAAAGCATCACATAGTACACAGAAACTCTCAATCTTCTGGTTAAAGTCACAGGGTATTTGTTTCCTTTTAATTGTGAAGTAAGGCTAAGTTCTCCTCAAGAGCCAAACTAATTCAGAAATAAGGCACAAGTCTATTCAACCAAAGTGCAGCAAATAAACTGTCTAGATGCAGACTTGCTGATTTTCTGACTATTAACTAGGGTTTCAATAAGTCAAAATAAAATTAATTAACACATGCAGCTCACAGATCCTTTAAATAAAAGTAACCTCATGACAAATCCTGAATTCTATATTCACATTTCCAGAAATTGATAAACAAGTCTCTTGTAGCTTGTATATGAATTTTAAAATGCTATAGCTTCTATATTTTAAAATGCTAGCTTAGAATCTATAGCACATCAACTATAAAATAGTAATAAAGGATGTACAGGAAAGATGCTCTTGAGGGAGCAGGGGGAAGAAAAGTAGGTAATTTTCAGAAATCAAATGTTCATTACCAGTGATTCATCAGTCTTATCAAAGCTGATATCTGATAAAATGGAGCCAGATTCATCAATGGTCGACAGTCTAGATGAGTGAAACAATACAGTGTTAGCACAGAAGAGTATGGAAAGAAAGACCCACTATCACTCAGAAGTCCCACTGGTCAGGTAACATCAGGAATTTTACAATATCTTCTCTATGAGAATTGCAAGAGCAAATCCTAGCTGTGATGGGTTGCTTTTTATGTTTTTCATGGGGGAATAAGTGTATGTGCATGAGCACATATGTAGCAGAGTTGCTTTTTAACAAAAGCCTCAAAACAGCAGTTGAAAGTTACAGTCAGGTATATAGGTGCTACTCTCTGAGTTTGTACTGTAGGCTACTAAAAATTCACAAGGTAGAAGAGTGATGTTTAAGTTGATCCCAGCTGTGGTTGCTTCCTATAAGAGTATTACCAAGCATTGGATTTTTAAGAAATTACGTAAGTCTGTACATCTTCTTACTTATAAAGATTCCCCATAAAACAACCAGGAAACAAAATAAGTAGCTCTAAGAGTGCTGACCTTTCTCTACTTATTGTATTAGGGGTGTTAAATTCAAAGCCTGGCTGAGACTATTTTAAATGGTGATGCAGTGGAACCAAAATTATTGTCTGGTCTTGGCTCAGAGAAGCCTTTCTAACCTAGTAGAGTACAAGAGCTCTCTGGAGAGGAAACACTGAAAGTATTGCTGAACTGCCACTTTCACCTTTAGGTTTCTTAGCAATGTGCAGGATTAGTTATTGATGTGCAAGTTAGCATGAACATCAAAATTTTACCCATGGTAAAACAACTTCCTAAGGAAAAATTTTAAAATAGAGAGGAGGTCCCACTGCCTTTCTTTCCCACCCTTCCCCCAAAATCATTCTGCTTTATCCAGCACACATTCCAGCAGCACTATATTTGTGAACTTCTGACAGCTGTGTTGTTTGTGATCAGTGACAACAGATACAGTTCCTCACCTTTTGTTTCCAGCATTGCCACTGGATGGTTGGCCCCTGTTGAGAAAAGCCAGAGCTGATTTTTGCTCCTCGCTTAGCTGAATGCTGCCAGATGTGTCACACATGAGCATCTCTCGAATCAGCTGAATCTGTCGTTCCTACAGACCACAGCAGAGTAGAACATCATAACTAGCCAGGGGAGAAAGCTTCACCTCAAATTTATGGGACAAGCAGGCCAGAAGACATTAAAATACAGCATTATGCAAATGGACCTTCAAGAAGACTGCGACACCAATAGCATATTAATTCACATCAAGCCCAGATTGTGTCTCTGATTTCTGGCTGGTAAAATGAACTCCATTTAGAATAGTGAGTTTCTGCTACAAGATCTCTGGATCAAACTGTTAATCCAAAAGGCAAGTAATGCAAAATTAGAGGCCCAAAATAGATTTTGCATAGCAAAAACACTTCAGTGATTTTATCAGGACAATTATTGGCTTCTACTATGGATCAAAGCAGCCACCCACCTTTCTAAATGGTGAAGCAAAATGCATTAAAATGGATACAAAGCTGTTACGTACTGGAACCAGACAATTTAAGCTTACTGAGGCATCTAACACCATACCAAGATGGATTAGTCCCTCCTAGTAAAGGCTTTCCTTTGCACCATGACCCACGCTGGTATATCAAAATGATAGTGCTCTATGTCAGTCACATTGCTCCACTGGTTGAATACATCTAGCCCTTTATTCTGAATTAGAGAGCAGTGATGAAAGATTTAGAGTTGTCTTGCCCGTATCAATAACAAACTACCAGCTACTGATGTCAGGATGAGGATATTCTGAACAGCACTTATGATCAACAATGAAGAATGGCCAATATTTGTGACAGATCAAGTATAGGATTTCCCCTCTAATTTTAACTCTTTAAATTCTCACTTGAAGTCTTATCTATTAAGTAGTACTTTCAAGTCTAAAGGAGAAAAAAAATTTGATTTCAACCTATGAAGAACTGGTTCCCAGGCTGCAATTTCAGCTCCAGTAAGTTGTCAATGGACAGGTCGTTTTCAGTTCTTTAATGTAGAAGAAGAAACTGGGGTGTATCTGGCTTCTCCTCCCACACTATCATAGTTCTTGCAAGTCTTAGCACAGGAAACAATACACACCAGCTTTTCACAGTCAGCCTCGGCTCGCTGTCTCCGTTTGATCTCTACATCCACCTGATTGCGTGCATGCTTCAGCTTAACATCCAGAGCGCTACGCTCAGTCTCTGCTTTCATCAAAAGATCCTTGTATTTCCCCAGCTCGTGGTCTGTTCTCTGCCACTTTTTACGAAAATCCTCAAAGTCCTTCGCCAACTGGATGAATTCTGAGGAAAAAGGGAAACTTTAATAATTCAAGCACCAGACAGAGTATAAATGCTCTAATAAATGAGTCCTGTGGTTAGCTTTACTCCAAGTACGTAACTAAAGAACTAGCTGAACTATGAGCAAATCCAGCTGAAAATGATGAGGAGCCTATCCCGGGATTCTGGATATATGTTCATCACTCCAGATGAGAGTTTTGTGGGGAGGAATTCCTATTTCAATAGGCCACTTATTTTTGGCTTAGCCAGTGGCATCTGCTATGGAATAAGTAACTCATTAGTCACCTGGCTCCAGATGTAACACTAACACTGAAAGCTCCTGAACAGAAGGCAATCAAAGGGGGATACCTTTGGGGCAGCTGTCACGCACCAGGACAGTTACAGCTATAAAACAAAAACAGCCTCCTTTACAGTCACGCATTGCTGCGCCAGAGAGATGTTAAACAGCAAATTCAAATTTAACTGCTGTAATATGCTCCAGTAGATGTAGATTAATATTATAGATGTCTAGGCTTGCAATTCCATTCAGCTATATAATTATACAAATATTGATTTGAAAGTAAAGACCCAATTTGCTTTTGCTGTTTAACACTGCCCTGAAGGGTATGTAAACATTCCAGTTGGAAAGACACAGGAAAAGAAGATACTAGCCTTTGGTGAGTCACTGATAGCAGAATGTGAACTCTTTTCAAATGTCTGCAAGAGAAACCACTGCTTCCAGGGCAGCACCTCAACACAAGATAACCCTTGTAGGACCCATTCCTATTACCTGCTATTGGCAGACTGCTCTTCTACAATGTATTTGCAAGAGCATCTTACAATTTTCTAGATAAACTTAATCTATCTTAAGCATCACTCCCACCCCACCAGGAACATGGAAGAAGGTTCAAGGTGTATATCTGCTGCTAGTCAAATGAATCTAGTTCACAGCTACAAGCAGGCCAAATTCACACAAAGGTAGCGATTCTTAGGAATTAAGGGGACTGTTTCTACTTGAAATTAACCTAAGAATATGATAAATATTTAACATAGTATCCTTTTTAAGCAATTCTATCAATTTGACTAAATTTCAAACTTACAAACTAGATATCAATTCACTCTTGTTATCTTCAGAAATCACACCTTACATATAGTAGCAATTTCAGTTTTTAGCAAACAACAGATTCGAGCAAAACAGGATATTATAATCTAATTATCTGAGATAATATAAATATCAAGGACCTCCCACCGCAAAGAATAAAGTATTATTACATTTCAAGAAGCTTTAAATGACATGCTGCTTTAATTAATAGTTTGGAACACATTACCAGCTTTTTTGTTTTGTTTTTAACAAAAAATAAAACAAGAAATACATACAACCTTTAGCAAATTTACAATTTCAGTATTATAGATCCATGAGGGGAAAAATTAGGAACAAGAACTGGTTATTTGGATGTGTTCACTGACAATTCATCAAGCAATGTACTTTTCAGATGTAAGGAATACTGCAGTTTCAAAAAATAAAGAACAAGAAACACATTTTCAACTCCACAGTCTTAAAAACTTTATAGCTCCACACTGTGGTCAATTAAATATTTCTAAATATGGTGTTATATACCCTCAAATATTTACTGAATTGAAAAACAATTTTGAGAATGAAAAGGTTTTCACCTGGTCAGATGAAAACCTTTTCATATGACCTGATTTTATTGTTTGTTTGTTCTTTAGGATACTCCTTTGTAAATCTTAATATGAGTTATCATTACTATTCATTGTTAATTGACATACATTACAGGTCAAACCAAACTGGACTAACTTGGAACTCAAACTAATTAGTTCATTTCAAGGAAAGAATTTTTATTTTAATAGACAAATGATTAAATTACTGGTTCAGTTTAGTTCATGTTAGAACAAAAACAGACATCTGCATATCTGATTACAAGATTACTTTTACAAACAACTCTGTAATAAACTAAGTTTGCAGGATTGGGTCAAAAGGGCACTTTGGACAGAAAAAACTTGATCTTGGAGATCAGTAAACCTGGCATTTTTTTCTCAGTTTGTGAATAACAAGTTAGCTTGGTATATTCCCTGTCATAAAGTATACATTCAAAAGATTAAATTCAAACAAAATACAGCATATACATACATACTAAGCTATATCCAAAAGGAAAGCCTATCTATCAAAAAGGAGGAAGGGAAATTTCCTTAAAATAAATTAAGAATAATCTTTGATTCATTAAAGAAGAAAAAAAAATCAGAAGTTAAGTTTACAGTTCAGCAAATGGATTAATTAAGTTCTAGGAATTCCCACCTTTTTCCCATTTACTCTCCCTAGGGCTCTTCCCTACTACCCTCTAAGCTTCTTAAGGGCAGGGAAGCTTTTTGCTTGTACCATCAGTGCCTTGCACGCTCCTTAATATATTACCTGTAATATACTCAAATATTTGTTGAATGAATGACTTGCTGTTCAGATCAAATTTAAACTCCAGGCATCCAAGCCCACCTCACCAAGCTAATCAAACTTATCCCCCCCACTATACAATAAATACCCTCTGTCCAGTTAAAGCATTTATCATTACCCCCAGAACAGGCCTGTGTTCATTTCTACCTTTTCACTTGTGATCATGATATGCATCCTAATTGGAACACTCTACCTATTCTTCTTTATGCACCTGTTTTTCAAGTCCTTTCTGCTCTATGAAACCTTTCCTAATTAGTCTGGTCCACATTAAATCTTTCTTGACTTCATAAAAGCATATACTTTGATACTTGTATCATATTCTGTTCCATGATGATGAATCCTGTCTTCAAACCTTAAATACTATAATCTTCCTGAAAATAAGCACCATGTCACATACTCTTTAATATCTCCTACTGTACACAGAGTAACACAAATCTAGAATGGTGTTGGTATACAAAAGGTACCTGATAAAAATTGTTATATTTGTTCCTAATTTATTCACCATCAAAAAAATTGAAGCCAACCTTTAAAATAAACATAAACCCTGTACACTGAATAAAATAAATATAACAAAATACTGAGGCTGTTAAAGTGATTTTATTTAGATATTAATTTCTACTCTGAATGTTCAGTAACCTTAGACTTAGCTTAAAAAAAAAAAAAAAAGTACAAAAAAGAAAAAGGAATAAAGTTATCATGAAAAGCAAAAATATAGGAGTTAGGAGATACTTTGGCCTAAGAGAAATTGTTTCTACGAAGAGGACAGACACTGGGGTGGTTGCAGAAAGGAGATTCTAGAATCTAGAAAACATTGAGGAATTTTAGTTTCTGAAAAGCCAACATTCCAAGTTAGGAATTGAGATGGGGGTGTATCTCTAATTTTATAACAAATTAATAAGATATAATTTCCAGAAATTTGGTTATAAAATAAGGGTACCCACAAAAATAATTATCTTATATTTTTGTATAGGATCATCACTTCCAAAAGTATTTTCACAACTAATATCTCATTTTATCCCTAAATCCTCACAGCACAACCAGGAAGATAAAAGACATTTAAATTCGTATTTTACAGATGGAGATATAGATACAGAAATAGCAGTTAAAAGCCAGCACTAGTTATTGAGACTCCAAACCTCAGATTCTCCCCTCTGCTCCCACATCCTATCAGCTGATTCTTCCTAGAGATCTCATCATAATCTCTTCCACTCATTTTCCCTTATTTCCATCTTTACAAGCATCATTCCAGTTAGGGCTCTTATTGCTTCTTCCCTGAGCTATGGCAACCATCTCCTAATCAGTTTCCCAGCCGCCACCTCAAATGCAGCCTACATCTCTGTCAAGTTATTCTTCCAAAAACACAGCTCTGATTACATCACTCTATTATAATAGAGTTGATTTTTTCCCCAAAAAGAGATGTTCAAGTCCTTACCCCCCCAACTGTGAACATGACCTTTATTTGGAAATAAAGGTTTTTGCAGATGTAATTCATTAACATTAGATTATACTAGCTCCTATACTAGAGTAAATCAGGCCTTAATCCAACATGACTAGTATCCTTAAAAAAAAAAAAAAAGACAAAGACACACACATGAAAGAAGGTCATGTGACAACAAAAGCAGATTGGAGTGATGCACCTACAATCCAAGGAATGCCAAGGATAGCAAGAAATCACCAGAAGTGACGAGAGAGGCATGGAACAGACTATCTCTCACAGCCTCCACAAGGAACCAACCTTGGCAACACACTGATTTCACACATCTAGCCTCCAGAGCTGAGAGGATAAATTTCTGTTGTTTTAAGCCATCCAGTTTGTGGTACTTTGTTACAACAGCCCCAAGAAACTAATACACTCCCTCTTACTCCTATTCCCCTCAAACAAACACTCTTGTCTCTAGTCCTATTCTTTCCCTGACCTAAAAGGCACTCTTTTTTTTTTTTAATTGTGATTTGGGTAAAAGTTTACAGAGCAAATTCACTTTTCCATACAGCAGTTCTCACACACGTTGTCTCATGACATTGACTACAATTTACCCCAATGCAACAGCTCCCCTCCCACTTCCTCCCCAGTTACCTCTTCCCTGTGTCCATCCCTCCATGTACTCCTGCCCCCTGAACTGTCTCCCTATGCATAAAAAGCCCTTCTTTCTCCCATGATTGTTCTCTCCAAGGAGTTTATCTACCTCAGGTACATGTTCAACTCCTATGCCTGTCTTTTGTTTGGCTGGAAGCCACAGGTGTGGGTTCAATGCCAGACCTGAAGGGCAGCTAGGGGCCAGAGTCTCAGTGGTTCCACCGGGCTCTATCAGACCAGCAAACCTGGTCCTCCCCCCCTTTTTTTTCCAAATGATTTTGAGGTTTGTTCCACATTGTTCTCCCTCTCTATCCAGGATCTCCTACACAGATCCCCCTCCAAGTGGTTGACAGTAGTAGCTGGGCACCATCTAGTTCTTCTGGTCTCATAGTCATATAGGCTG